TTATATATATGGTCTTACTACGCTGCCAACCTAAAACTTAACGGCATAAAAAGTATTCCCAACATAAAACATGTTAGTTCTAATGTTCTCTATAGTTTCTGATAATGATTTTTTAAATTAAATTAAAGCACCGAAATAGAAAAAATAGTATGAAAAACGCGTGTTACAATGCAATGCTTTATTGTAATACTTCTATCTTGCGGACACTCGTGGCTACGCTTCGCGTCGCCACTCGTGCCACAAGATAGTCGTATTACAATAGGTCGCATTGTAACACTTGTCTTTCAATATACTATTTTAGCACTAATTTCAGGAACACTACTTTGATCTATTTATTTATGTAATGTCTTGGTGAACAGTTTTTTTTTTTAACAGACTAGATGGTTTTTTCACCATACATTGGTAACTGACGGAGTATTTAGGAATATAGTGGTGTTGGCGGGTTAGTTTATCAATCCTTTGATTGTAATGGCTAGGTAGTTCAGATGGATTCTGACTATGGTCACTTCATTGGGGGGACTTGACTTTTCCAAGGAAATCATGACATAGGTACCTATTACAAACGTAGCGTAGGCATAGCTAGATATAATAATCACCAATAACCTTTGCTAAAAAATTGGTAGGTATTCTAATGTCTTAATAAAGAAATATTCAAATTGTTATTTAGCACTCATTTCAGGAACACTTCTTGGGTCTATTTTGTCGCCTGGTTTAGGAAAATGTGCTTTAGTGGGCAGTTAGTTTTTTTTCATACTCAAGATGGTTTTTTCACCATACATGGACCAGAGTTGGGCAGAAAAGTATTTGAATACTAAATACCTACTTTAGACAAATCAAAAGTATTTGAATACTAAATACTTTTACGCACAAGCAAATACTAAACACAGATACTTTGAAAAGTATTCAAATACTTTCAAAGGTACTTATTCGAGTACTTTCAAAAGTATTCGAATACTTTGAAAAGTATTTCGTTAGATTACTTTGAAAACTATTCAAATACAGTCAAAAATATTCAAATACTTTAAAAATTTAAATTATTACTGCATAGATAACGGGCGATCAAAAATGAGTGGCTGTCGAGTCGCCTTGGAAGTTCCAAGTTAAGTACGATTTCCCATGTAAAGAAAAATTCCAAAGGTGACTCATTTTTGATCGCATAGTACCCCCTCCGGACCTTCCTTATATCAGTTATATCCTTAAGAACACGTGTACCAGTTTTCAAAGCGATCGTACGCCGCGTACATCTTTCTGAAATTAATCCTAGCGATTTTGAAACAGATCCTTTTCTGTTCGCCCATCTGTCCGATAACTTGTTTAGAAACGTTCGATCGGTTTGAAAATTGGTACACATGGTGTTAAGGATATAAAAAAAGGTCCCTATTGGTTTTACGTTACGTAGACTATCGGGTCAAAAAGTTCGGTATTCAGTTATTGTATCGGATTTTTATATTTGAATTTGTGATGAAATTTCCCCAAAACATTTTTAAATAGTTCCCAAATATTTGAATAACTTAAAGGTATTTGAATACTTCACCATGGTAAGTATTCAAATACTAAATATTTGCGAAAGTATTCGAGGTACAAATACTGCTTCCATAAAAGTTATTTGAATACTAAAAAGTATTTACAAAATTGAATACTGCCCAGCTGACATGGACACAAGTAGAGTAATTACTAGGAATATTGGGAGTGGTGACGGCGAGCCAGGTTGTAATACTCTCAATTGTAATGGGTACGTAGTTAGTAGCCTTTTAAATAATAAAATAGATATGCAAAATTTTTTTTTATTTAATAAATTCTGTACTCGACCCTTTAGGATAGTTTGTGGATGAGAAAATCTAAAATGACCTGCAATAGCAATGATCGCATAATGGGTTATGTCAGGTTATTTAGTAAATGAAAATATTTATAATTGCGTGATTATATTTTAAATTTACGTTTAATATGAAAATATTCATAGCATTTGGTAATTCTTGAAATAAAATTAGATACAACGTTTCGAACAAAACTATTCATAATTTGAGACATGACAAAGTAAAGGTCGTGTAAAAAGAAAGTTCCACATGCGGAACTGTTAAGCTTCAAACAGCAGACTGTTCGAGTAAGGCTCAAATTATCTTTATTTTGTAACTAAAAACATACTGACAGCAAAACTTAATTAAATACATGAGGTCACGACATTACTCTGATCCACCTGCAGTTTGATCTTGATCATTAACTGGACCTGTCAGAGATAACATCTTCGAAAGGGGGCGCCCATCGATCGTATAAAATAACAAGCTTAACATGATAACGTTTTAATTGTTCCATTAAAAATTACAATAACAACATCAAATTAAAAAGTTTATAATCTTAAACAGGTTTGGCATAAAATACACGTTCTCGTAATGTTTTGATCCCAGACTAGTAAATAGTACCGAACAAGTTGCCATTTTGCCACTAGAGTAATGTCAATAACAAACACCCCATTCAAAATTTGGTAATCATTGATTGTAATTGGAATAACTGAAAATCTGTAAGATTTTTAATATATATAATATACTGTACACATTGATTAACTAGAAGTGTATGGGAGTCTCCGATCGACAAAAAGGCGTGACTTACCACAGATCAATAACATATCTAGTTAAAATATATGTATTTTTACGTTGTAATGAGAGTACACATTTCCACGGTAATCGGCATGAAAATATGCAATCGCCAGCAAGATGTGGTCATGGGTCGATAGTTCAGACTAGAATGACCCACCTAGGATTTATTGGTAAGGGAATAACAACGATGGGTTGGGATTGTTTTGGGCGATATCGAGTGTGTGCGGTTCGATATTACCGATGACATTTATCGTTGTCAATTCTCCCGACCCACCTGCTTCGTGCTGTTGAAGAATTTCGATACAGGACAGTGTATATAGGTGTGCGCAAACTTACTGAAAATGCAAATTGCGCTCGAATAAAATAAATACTAACAAATACTGAAGGAACGGACTAACTTCGTAAGTCACTAAAGCAGATATCTAAGTACCATCACCGCAAAAAGTATTCACTCGAGCACCATTTGTTAGTCCAGTAAGTCATTATACACAATTTTAGTTCCTAAGTACGTAATTAGATAAGACAGTATTGTTTGTTTCAATTTCAGAAAACACACAGGGAAAGTATAAAACAAATAAATCTCGGAGGCAAAACGATGCCGTGTTTCGCAGCTCTAGTTTTAAACCTCTATAGTAACGGTATATGGATTAAAATCTACTTATAACTAAATCAGACCTAAAATACAACAGAATGAGGGCGAGGAGAAGCAATAACTGAATTAGTTTACAACTAATTATATAAATACTATTCTAGAATGACAGTGTGTATTTATTGCCTCTCCCCAACAACATTTGGCAGACAACATCTGATCTCTACTATTCTTATAGAATAATAAACAGAAGCAAGCCAAGGCTGGTGGCCTCAGGCCAAAAGCGATGGATTGCTAACGAGGACGCCGACGGCCGCGGACTGGCGCAGACATGGCCACGACGACAGTGCACGGGAATTTCCGGTCGACGTGGTTGAGTCGCGTCAGAGTGCACTGCGTGCCGGGGCGCCCTCGAAGCTGTGAGGACGCTACTTGTGCGTCGCTCACCTAGGCACCTAATTACATGCTATGGACGAACTCTGACTCGTCCCATTATTGCTAATCATGTTGAGTTCATGACTCCAATATGGTTCCTACGCTTGGATAGCATAAGACACATAATCCACTAGAATAACAACAATCAACGAACAATCAATGCGCGTGGTATCGGCAGCTAATGGGCCACCAGGCCGGTCGGTTTGCGGGTGCTGCTGCTCCGGTTAGGAAATAGGTTGGTCAAAATGGGTAAGATAGGAATTAGAATAAGGAGCTACACAGCCGTCTCTGTGTGGCTGTGCGAGGATAACCGCTCCACATCTATTTCGGGAATCGTCAACTCATCTGGGATGTTATCGGCGTACTCAATGGAAGAAGCTTGAGACAACCTCTTAGAGAGTGATGTCTGTTTTCGGAGTACTTCGGCTAGGGAAGTATTGCTGTGTTCGCCATACCGAGCATCAAGGCCCTGACGGAAAGCATTAACTACTCGGATCTGAAATAAACAAGAAACAACAAAACAGGGAGAATTAAAATAAGAACATTCCCGGGAAGATGGCGAGCAGTTAGCACAGCCCAAAGATCAGTACAGAGCCATACTTGGGCCCAGACATTGCGTTCCAATACGTGCATTACTTGTCGGTGTTACATGTAGCGTGGCAATAGCGGTAGAGAATGAGAGTGTTCTGTAACAGTGTTGTAACTTATTACAATTTCCGAAACAGAAATGTGAGGGCCCAAGTTTCAACATTTAACAAACATGCAATCAATATTTATATTTATGTACATACATGCCACGGATAGCTTGTGGCGGCATACAATCATACATACACGTGATACGGAGGCAGTTCAAATTGACTTGCAGTACTGCCAGAGCAAAATGTATTTGTGTTGAGCCATTGTACATGCCGTGTATTGGAAATTCCAAGTCAGGCTTAAGCTTTACATTCACTGGTTATCATCGCAGAAGCTACAAATGAATCTCCACCAACACAAATATTGAAAAGTTTATTATCTACAAGCGGCCGCACTGCCACTTGACTGGATAATAATCATTTGACACTGGTAGCAAGCAGTCAGATATTACAATACAATACCGAGTGTTATGGAATTAAAACATTGAACTTGCAAAGTTTCACAAACCAAAACAATACAGTTTTAGAACTGTCTGAGCACCACTTAACACACATGAATAACAATGTTCAAATACATACAGTCTTTACCAGAGACATTGGTTACTTTGCTTACGTGATTTTGCCCCACCTGTATGTATGTATATGTGGGTATTAGTAAACACACAAAACAATATAAAAATATTACTTAACACATAAAAAGGTTAAACGTAATAACACAACCTTGCAGTATATATTTAAAATAAAAATTCATTCTTTTAATGATTTTATTGAAAAGTTTCATTTAAAACAGCAATCTGTTAGTATATTAAAATAAAAACATATCTAAGTACACTTCGTCAAGATATACAAGTAACAATCATATATTTTGAGTAAAATTTTAAATTTATGTAAATAAATGGAAGCCTCTACAATAATTTAACAAACAAACTAACTATGCAACGAGGCCGTTTTTACTCGTAAGCGCAACAGTCATGATAGAGCACCCGGGCATTCGGCTACAAAAGAGTTTCAAATTCACAACCAAAGCTAAACGTTTTTTTTTTGCAATTGTTTTCACGAATCTTTTTCTTTAATAATTGTTAGTTAGAAATTTAATTACTTAAAACAAAATAAAAAACAAAATAAAAAAATAAATTCTTTCTCGAAAAATGAATCGACATCTAGTAATCGGCCGAGCAGTCGTTTTGAGCGATCATATGCATCTGTGAGCTAAGAATAAGAATCATGCGCATGCAAAACGTAAGTCAGAGCCTAATCGGGCATCAGACGAAGGAACACGAAAAAAACTAATCCACAAAACAATAAAAAACGTTATTATCGCACTGCTTCAATATTGAGAAGGCGGTAAATAATCAAAGAAAAAAAGTAAGCCGGTGCCTCTACACAATGTGGAAGCAGTGATCAACACACACCAACAAGAGCGAACGAGCGAGCACACGAACACGTAGCGGACAGAAAAGAAGTAGGAAAGCGGCTTACAGCTTGGTCAGTGGAGCTCTTGCTGTACGGAACTGGAATCAAACGCTCTTGCAATTCACCACCTATCACCTTCAAGAGTAAAGGGTAACGTTAAGAGTGGTTTGATAGACAGTGAAAGACACATACAATAGATAGTGCACAGAATGAGACAGATTAGATAACTACTAAGTAAAAATTAAGAAGAGCTCGGCCAATGGTAACAATAAATTTTCTTACCATTGCACCTCAAAGATGAAACACTTGCACGTGTACGTAATAAAAATTAATTGCAACGAGAATATGAACACGTACACACGCATTTATCCATCAGTGCTGTAAATAAGAGTCTTAAGTGTTACAATCAACAGACACACGATTGCTCGAAACGTGTATCCACGCATGGCTCAGTGCCGAGTATCAAGAACAGAGCGTTAAATACTTTTACACCGCTATTTGCCATTAGATATAATTAAAAAAAAATAATAATAACATAGTAACGATAGGTAACGCTGAAACCAAAAATAAATTAAGAACGAAAATGAATTATATAAACACGAAGTATTCTGTTAAATGCGGGAAAGTGGCTTGGTTTGATTGATTGGCTTGCAAAATCACTCAATTTTGTTTGGTAGCACAACTAACCCAGGAATATTGGAATACATATTTTTACACACAAACATAAGAGCGGATAGGGTAAAAATCGGATGCAGTAGAGTATGGGAAAAAATCCACATTGAAAATAGGTATGCATTTTAGTAATTTTGCTTCATTTATTCATTTTGAATTAAGCAGATCTCGTTAAAAGTTCTGGCTCATGTACATTAAAAACTGATTTTAGTGCGCCGACTATGAAAGAGGATCAGCTGAAAATCGGATATAAGCTCCCAATGCGGTACATAATATGGGAGAAGAAGTATTTGAAAACCCCATTTTTCCCATTTTTCATGTGTCACTACAGGGATTTTGTTTAATCTTTTGCGTTCTTGGAAATTAATCCAAAAACAGGAAATAGAAAATTTAACTCTCCACAACCAACAGTTTGAGCCATGTGCATAGCCGTGCTTATCACAAAGCTTCTCCGGGAGTTCCAAACTTTTTCGCCCAGAATTCTGTGTACTACAAAAAATATCTGAGTCAGAACATTTTAACTGGGTTTGGCTTTAGGCAAAAAAGAAAAACTATTAAAATGTCCATTTTACATATATTTTGATAATAGAGCGTGCATCATCTAAATTTGTGAGGATTTTTGTCCCATATTCTGTACCATTGAATTTTAATTTTCAGCTTATCCCCTCCAATGTCCGGGTCTGAGGCTATTATTCCTGGGCTAAACGAGTATATGTTGGCTGTTGTAGCTTTGTACCTAGTAGAATTGTTCGTATTTGCTACACCTAGAATCTAAAAAATGGTTAAATTTCTATAAGATCGGTCAAATTTGTTCGAAAAATATGTCGGCCTAATAAATTGACGCGTCCCTGTTTTACGATTAAATTCGATTTCCCATTTAAACTAAGTTGTGGTCATATTCGTACCTAATCTAATGCCTACGTGGTTTTTGTTTCACTTGTAGAGAATACGAACAAAACTATAACATTGGCATTTCACACAATACATTGTCTCAATTTGTGTGCATGCGTCGGAAATTTGAACAAAAAAAAATGTCTCCATCACCACTAACCTGAGAGGTTCTAAGGCTATCTAAAATGCTATACATACAACTATTCTACAAGTGTATGACGAGATATTATGTACAAAAGTAATACAAAATAGTCAGATTTGGTCAAGTGAAAGTCTTCTACTAAGTGCTCTAAGCTTTTGGTAGAGGAAGAGGCTTATCGAAAGGTCAGGGTTACTACGGCAGGGTGGCACTAGTGGCACTAATAACGAGCGACATGCACTGCTCGCCACGGTGTAATAATACCGGGCATGACTGGCACTATATGCGAGTCTCATGCACGGACTTGAGCAGCTCAGAGTTGGCAGGTGCGGAAGGTGCTAACTGCGGATTAAAAGGTGGGGGCCTCAGATTGTGAGGAGATAGCAGCCGGTTTCCTGCTCCGGTGTAGTCGGCGCGATCTGTCTTCAGTTGTTGCGGCGACAATTTGTTGGCAGTGGGATCCTCATCGATATAAGTGATGTCTGATAGAGGACGCGAAGGCCAGGGGCCAGTGTGACTTCGCGAGCTGCGCAAACTGTGTAAACTATGTACCGAGCGACGCTCCTCCAGATCCTCCAAGGTAGACTTGAAAGCCCTGATTACTCGCAGCTGCAAACACAGGGAAGCAGGGTACTTATGAGGCCGGGATCAGCATGCATATACACACCATGCACACGCCTTGCTCACCATGCGTGCTACGTGCACATCCGCTTACTTGCGGTGTACCTGCAGCAAATGGCAGCGGACATTCACGTCCTATTTATTATAGTGTGGTGATAATTTAAAACAAATTCGAATTATTCAAACTACATTAATGTTAGTAAATATAAGTTAGTAGCCAGTGTGGCAAGCGCACCGCACGCAGTCACTTCGAAAAGCTGAGGGTAATAATAGAGCAAGCGAACTTGATGTAAGCGCCCAACACACCATATGAAGTTATTACCATAATACGACCAGATCAGAAAATTCTCAACACGGTAAGAGTTTCCGTTTCGAAATCCACTTGGCTGTGTTGTCGCAACGAGGCACTCAAATGTACTACTGCTACGAAGAACTAGCAGCAACATGGTCGAAGGGGATGGAGGGTGACTCTACACAGCTAATATCAAAGTGCAATATACGAGTAGCATTAACGCATCCCAATAATTGCATTAGCCAAAGCCCTACTACAAGCTACGTACTTGTTTATACTGCAACAGGGGTTGCTTGAGACACCCACAGCGTTCCTATACCTCAGTTTCTTTCATCGGTTCGGCCGGCTACCAAATAAATCACAATTAAATAACCAACATCGGAACAGCATAGATTGCAATAATCCCAATTTTGGCTGTTGGTTTGTGCTAAAGGGAATGGTAGTGATATGCTACTAACTGCAATCCCAAGTTTATACAATTAACCTCCAACTAATACGTTTTAAGCTCAACTTATTCTATCTTTACGATTAACTAGTAAATATCACATTTATATTTGTGAAAGATCTTTTGTTAATACACAACCATGCCCACCAATATTCCCTGTAAAATAGTCTCATTTAATTATTGATATAGGTATTTCAGTCACCAAAGCAGAAGAGACTAGAAATGTTTATTTTCCACTGCTGCTGTGCTAAGAACAAATGCTGTATCCACAAAAAACACATTTTCTAACAAAATCGGCCCCTGAGAATACTTGTATCTGCAGTAGAGTATATGATTTTCTGTTTGGACCGCAATTTCGTTAAGTAAAACAGTAACATTTAATTTTGTCAATAAAATATTACTGTAAAACTGTGTATTTTGTTCTAATGGTTTTGTATCTAGATTTCTTTGCTCTTTTGTAGAAAAAATAAAATGATACTTTAATCTCAGCTTCGGCCGCATTGATACAGCTCTGTTCTTAAGACGGCAAAATAATACAATATTTACTAGGTAGTCCTAAAGATAAAAGTATACCAAATTTATTGAACAGGATTGGGCCCATACAGGCGAATTAAATTAATTAAAAATTAGGTGGATAAAATTGTTATTGCAATTATTAGCACATTTTGGATTCCGTATTGATCGTTACTTGGAAAATTTTGATAAACTAATAGAGAGAAGATTGTCTTGCAACACTGACAAACATTAAAAGGAGCAAACAAGAGGCAGAACCTGGAATAAAAGTGAGAAATCTGTGGGCGTGGGTGTATAGTGCAACCTGAGACAACACAGCCAACTCGGGGCTCAATGGATCGAACGATGTACGTACATGCAGCAACTATCGGCTAGTGGCGTTAACTACGTGAACCGTTGGATAAATGCTATCAAACTACGTAATGCACCGCAGTGTTTAGTGGTGAAATAATTAGAAAGCATGCCATGTTATACAAGGTGTTAACTATAGGTACAGTGGAGTACGTCAAAATTAAACATATCTTACGAAATTGCTACAAACCACACCAGGATGTTAGTTTTTAGGCAAGCAAATGCTAGTACAATTTAAAATATCACCAACTTGTGTATATATGAAAAACAAAGGATTGACACATTTGACAAGAACAGGTGTATATCCACTGCGGACCAAAAGGTTAATGGTCATGTAATAATTGTTTAAACAAATTTCTGTGGTAGGTACACTTACTAGAAATAACTAACTTCTCAAAGTAGTATGTATTATGTGTAGTTAAAGGTACCACACGGATTGTTAACGAAAATATACTTCAAATAAAAACAAAACAGAATCTAAGCTACAAAAAAGACAAACAGTTAAAGCGGGATCGGAGCGTTTAATTAATTTCATTAAATCAATTATACAACCAAGCATCAATTTATATCATGCTTTCAAACAAACTACCACAATTCTGATCGGGTAAGAGGAAAAGGATGGCAGGAAGCCTCAACTGACGATCTCTAACTACCTAATAACTCCTATTTAACTGAGCTCTGTTCATCAATCACTCCTAAACATACGGTTTGATAATGCACCGACCGCTATGGGTTCCATGGCACATGCCCAACGCGGTTATTGGTACAGTCGCGTGGTTCACATTTATATGTACACAATGCACACACTTACCTGTGTTTGCAATCTAGTTAAACCTCGGATCCAAAGAATTTGTCCCGCCCTAGGTTTCTTGTCGGAGTCCACATCGAACTTCTCCTCGCCTATCGCGATCGCCTCTGTATACTCTTCGGGATGCCCTCGGCCCCATCTAGAAAAAAAAACGCGCCGCGTTAAAGCAAGCCGCAAGAATTAGTTTTGAAAACGTACGATAATATTTTCGGTATTTTTCTAGTGGGCACTGTCGTGACGAGCTGACCCCAAAGCAAAGTACCCACTCCAAAAAATAGGCACCAAAGCCACTGGTCCAGGGTCAAGCTTTTCGTTGCAAACGCCATTTTTCCATATTGTATAATTAGAATCTTGAAAAAAAAGTAATGAATAGAAGTAAAGACTCGCTTACATGTGTAATGGTATTTCGTACCGAAGTGTGAGCAATTGAAAATAGTACACAACTTACAATTAGTTGGAAACAAATAATTTTGAATGAGTTTATATGCACAGGACTACGACGGGAAAATAATAACTATATTTTCCTACAAGCTACAAAATTAATGCAATACAGAAATTATTAAAATGTATTAATATAACAATTCCACAATCTATAATTTGTTCCTTTAGTTATTCCTTTGAAATTCCTTCAAAGAAATTATCCTTAGCATGCTCTGTACATGTATATATTCTCACTTGGTATGTGCGGTGCATGAGGAGTCGAAGTTAAATTAAACCTACAAATGCGCAAAATCGTAATGACCATCCCGCATTCCGATTGTGATAAAATACACCCAACTATACAGGTGCCCACAATAATTAACAAATCTAATAACCTTATTGCTCCTCGTTTATGAATTTGGAATATTTTCTTAAATTTGTAACGATATCACGAATCGGGCAAACTGTTCAATAAGGTAAAGAAGAACAAAGCCATAGCCGTTTGGGAGACCTATAAGAGAAACCTAAGGCTATATAAGGATATTAGAAGGAAGGCATGGAAGAGTTTTTGCAGCTCCATAGGATCTACCTCCTCTGCATCTCGCCTAAATAAAATTCTAACAAAAGATTCATATTATAATCCCAGCTAGCCTCAGATGAGAGAATGATTCCTACATGGACAACCTCTTAGAGGCAGCCGAAGTACTGAGAGATGCCCGCTTTCCCGGAGCCACCACAGTACTATACCCCGTAACGAAAGTCATACGAGGCTGGATGGACTTATCTCAGAGCAGTGGGGTGGAGTGCTATCATCATTTCTGTGGAACGTAACTGTAACCAAACTCCTCTGTCGCCTCAATGACAGTGGCTAGGGGTATGCAGATGACATATCCATATAACCGGACAATTTGAGGCTGCTGATCAGCTCTTAGAGTAATGGAAGATTGGTGTAGGAAACACTCCTTGTCCATCAACCAGACAAAAACAGAGTTAGTTCTCTTCACACGAAGAAGAAAGGTAGAGAGTCTTCGAACTCCCCTGCTATTCCAAGAACACCTCCAATTTTCAAAGTCAGTGAAATGTATAGGAATCAGAGTTGGCTCTTGCACTTACAACAACTTTAACTCAAAACACTCAAACCCAACACAGGGCTAGATGAAACCTTAATATGGCGATGCAAGTGCTAAAAATGCAAAAAGGTGCTACTTTACAAAATTTATTGCACCTTGTACATTTGTTTCGTATTTTGTCTTACCTTGCAATACCTTCACATAAGCTCATGCACATCACTCTTCTCATTGCTAACACACAGCAAAAGGATTCTTAGCGCTGACTTAGAGAAAACAAAGTACCTACGCTACTTCTATATTAGGTTCGAATTCCAGACTTGAAAAAAGTACTTTGAACAATGGGAAATTAATCAGGGCAAATTGAGTACATTTTATGGAGTGCAACTAATGGATAATTAAACCTGTTCAAAATTACAAAGGAAGAAATACCATTACACAAGCAAATGCCGAATGTTATCCTAAAAGTTCGTGCTTACCTGCGATGCACATGTGCCGATCCATATTGAATAAAAGATGGGGTTCGTAAATACCCCTTCAAAGATATTCCGTTGACCATGAATCTTCCTGGCGTTAAATTCGTTAAATAATGTCATTAATACAAACGAGTTAAATATAACAGTAAAATGTTGCGTAGGTCCAGATCCAATTTCGGCGTCTCTACCGGGTTCAATGTTTAATAATTTATCTCCTACGGATTAAAAATATTCAAATAACGACAGTATTAGTAGGAATATTGATATACTGACCTACAAATAACAAAGCAAATATTACAGTTAATTGATATATAGCCTGACCAAGGATATTTTTCATCATGGTCCTCGATATAAGGGGTTTGGTTCTCCCATAGGGCTTTCTAAGTAATAAATCCGACGTCGGAAATTCGGTAGCTAAAGCCAAAGATGCTAAAGTGTCCATAATTAAATTTACCCACAACATTTGCACAGCCTAGGAAAACAATGTTTTAACAGACTGCAAAGCTGTACCAAATTTTACCTTCAAGGGACTGTCTTGAACAGTACAGGCACCAATAAAAGCTACAACAACAGCTACAACATTTACAGTAAGTTGAAACTGTAAAAATTTCGCTATACTGTCATAAACATTTCTTCCCCACATAACCGCTTTAACAATACTACTAAAATTATCGTCCGTTAAAATAATATCAGATGCCTCCTTTGCAACATCAGTGCCAGCAATTCCCTAAAAAACAAAAATATTATTCTCAAAAGTTTTCAAAGTTATCATCACCATAGCAAATCCAACGTCGGCTTTCTTCAAAGCGGGACCATCATTAGTGCCATCACCTGTTACCGCAACAACTTCTCTTTGTTCACTTAGCTTGCTATCAATAATTCCTTTGACTAAAGTGTATTTATCAGTAGGTGAGGATCGTGCCAGTACACGTAGTTTAGGCCAGACTTTATCGAGAAGGTGTTGTTGTACCTACGGCACAATCAAGCAATGTGCTACCATGACAACCTCATACCTCTCCAGTACTATCACGGATTCTTCGGTTAAACTCTTTACCTTCGAGAATCAGAAAATCTTCATTAGGTTTTATGATACCACATTTGGTAGCGATGGATCGTGCAGTGTTAATATTATCACCCGTAACCATTCTGACAGTAATACCGGCCTTTTGACACTTTCTTATTGCATCTGGTACTTCAGGGCGAACGGGATCTTCAATTCCAACAACACACAAGCAGGTTAAATTTGATACCATATTAGCTTCGTCGTCCCAATTTGGTTCGTTATCTATGTGTACTTGATTAATTTCAGCTTTGCCAGGCACAAAATCACGGAAAGCGATAGAAATGGTACGTAAACCGTCACAAGCCATTGGTTCAATGACTTGCCGTAGCAACCGCTCTTGCATATCCCTAGTAAACTTTTCCAACCGGCCATCGTGACCATAAATAAAGGCACACCTATAACCGTTCAAGTAAAATGTGTAGGTTAAGAAATGAATACTTACTTGTTTAAAATCATTTCAGAAGCACCCTTTGTAAATAATCGAAACCCGCCTCCTTGTCGAGGAATCACAGTGCTCATAGATTTCCTTACGGAATTAAACGTATAAACGCGAGTGAAGGTTTCCTCTGGTTGGTCATCGCGAACTGTTTGATAACTTTTTTGTAAGCCTAGCACAAAACCTAACAAAGCACATTCAGTCTTGTTGCCAACTTGTTTTGGCAATTGCGAAGGGTCCTCCCCAGGCTATAATTTTAAATCCTTAGAAAACATTTCCAAGCAAAGAAAAGGACTTGCCATTATTCGCGATGTATACGCGGAGTTGATTGATATTCCCTGTACTATTAAATTCCCAACGTGAGCGGGTATATCCGAAAACTTGGGCATTGTTTTACACAATTGTTCACATATATAAGACTGCACAACAGTCATTCGATTAGTTGTTAATGTACCCGTTTTGTCGGAACAAATAGCAGTTGCGTTGCCCATGGTTTCGCAGGCGTCCAAATGCCTTACTAAATTGTTGTCTTTCATCATTTTCTAAAAGAGAAAGATGGAATGTTGAAATGTGTTTTCAATAATAAGCGGTAGCGCGTTAATGGCGGTTAGTTCAGACCATAACTCGCATTTTTTATTACTGAATCTCAAAAGTCAATAAACGATTTTCCTGTCTGGAACGGTTGCAACCTAGTGTGGGATGCTAGTGTTGCAGATCGCACATCTGCCTAAGAACGGCCTTAGCTTTAATGTATATTAATATTGAAAAATGAGAGCCAAAACTTCTTGTATAAGATCAGATGAGCTTTTCGTCCACGGCGACGTAGTTAAGCAGAAATTACACACTATTTTGATCTAAACACCAAAAGTAATGACAGGACACCCTGTATATGAAAATTTTTCAATTTATTAAGTGTGAATTTGGTGGTTTATTTACAAAACAAGCACATGATTTGAATTTGTGTCTCAGTGTTGTTTTTCCTTATGGAATTGTTTGTAATTGCAATTTTTGTTTAAATCTGATCGCTTTTGTAAATTGTAAAACGTGAACTTTTAGGCACATCTGGTCGTTTGCGGTAAGTAGTTTTTATCGGACCAAATTTAATTAACGCAGGAGTTTTTATCGCTGTTAGAAGATGCAGGCGTTTTATGATGTGCGCGTTATTTCTGCGTAAGTGGGGACGTTTGGCGTGTTCCTTCGAAGTCTAATTGTGATTAACGGTGTTTTTGAGAATCTCGAAAAAGGAGATTATTTTATAGTGGATTACTTCCATAAATTCTAGTGTTACGGGAACATTGACCAAAGAGTAATTATTATAACTTATTGATTTTTGAGTTCACAAATAAGGCATATGATTGTTTAGTTAGTTAAATTTGTTTAGGTTGGCTTATTTAAAAAAAAAGTAACGCCCATGTTTTAATAACGTTAAAAATCGTGCAAATTTGCTATACCTTACCTTGACACTATAAGCCAAAGATAAAGTGACTGCCAGCGGCAAACCTTCTGGAACAGCAACAACCAGTACAGTAACACCAATGATCAAATAACGAACCATGTTGTTAATATATGAGCTTTTCCATGGATTATTATGGGCAACAAATGTTTTGATACAGAAATTAATAATGAGTATAACAACGGTTAGAACTGCTATAGTAGAACCTGCATAACCAATTTGTATAGCTAATTTTGTAAGTTTAGCTTGTAAAACAGATTTTTCTTTCTTGTGACCCTCGGAAGCTGTCGATGTAGAAGTTACATGATTTTCTCCAGCTTCTGGCAATGGTTCATGCTTATTAGAAACAGGTGCTGGCGAATTCATATGACTATTGCCGGTTACTGCAGCTTCTTCGTCCCCTACAGACACACAATTTTATGTGAAACAATAATTTTCAGTTCAGTACAAAGACATGCGTTTCGTTTTTTAATATTTTTTTTAATAAAATGTTTCTAACAAAGTGTTAGTAACTCGGTGATATGTCAAAAGTAAATAAAATGTAATTGGTTAAACAGAAAGTAAGGAATGTATAATATAAAAAGATTTACCTGTAAGACTTTTCTTCTTCCGCTGCTTTTTAGCTTCTGTACAAAAACACATGCAAAAGGAGAACATTAGCAATCTCAAAACACTCCCAAGTCCTGGCATGGGTAAAATATAAATAAAACCAGAAATTCACGATGCAATTTTGGAATCAAAGTCAGTTTGTAATGAAATCACAGGATTGACATAATAAAAACTGCATCGAGCATCACTAGAGCAGCCTGGCTGCAAACTAAATGTACAGAATTATAGTAACATGGTATGTGTTGTCAGCAATCATATTTAAGTATGGGTCTGGGGTATTAATTATGACACAAATAATGTGCACTAACATTAAAAATGACATAAAGTACAAGGCATCTAAAAGACCGCTACAATCTATAATAGTGAGTTTTAAAAGAGCGGTCCTAAATTCAGAATAGGTACAAAGATCAAAACACATGGGCAAACCATGCACCACATAGCTACATGAACATACCTTTCTTCATTTTTTTCAATTCGGCTTCCTGTTGATCAACGGCGGCGCCTAGTAACGTGAAGATGATACCTGCTTGCGAATTGACTCCTACGGCGGCGACCAACATCTTCCCGGAACCCTCCATTACGTGAGTCCCTGACAGGACCATCGGATCGTAAGATTCACCTTTCTTGACGTGATCGGACTCGCCGGTAAGCGACGATTCGTCCACCTGAAAACCTCTTCGTATTTCTCGAGAAAACGCCGCAACTTACCTGTTACTACCTTCAAGTCATTCGACTGAATCAGGATACCGTCAGCAGGAAGAAGATCGCCATATTTAATTTGACATATGTCACCTACAACAATATCGTTAACTGCAATTTGTTTGACTTCGCCCTGTCGGATCACAGAAAATTTGTGTTCTCCTTCAATACGGCCCTGAAGACCTCTAAATTGTCTCTCTTTCGTGTAGTCATTGAAACCCGTTACTAAGACTACTACAACAACTGATATTAAAATGGCAAGACCCTCAATCCAACCGTGACTTGTTTCATCGTCATCGAAATCTGTAAAGTTCTCCACGATACAAATTTTTGCTTATATATTTATATTTAAGGTTTAATAATACTCACGAACATCTTCTGCGGGTGGCGGTTGATAGAATGAAAGACCAAGTGACACTGCGGCAGCTATTTGTAATATAATAAGTGTTATATCCTGTAATGCTTCCCATACTAATTGTAGAAAGGTTTTCGGTGGTTTCGGAGGAATTGAATTAGAACCAAACGTTTCTCTTCTGTGTTCTAAATCTACTTGAGAACCACTAAGTCCTAAACGGCAAAAGACATATATGTATCAAAGTCGTGATCATCGCGCGTAAGTCACATACTCCACTACCATGACTACTCCGAAAGAAAACGCATCTTTCATAAAGATCTAAAAATATGACCCATATTCTTCAAAGATGATTTTCTCTCCAGAATAAAGAAAGTGTATATACTGACAGTGAAAAGCTGAATACATAAACTAAATACGCTCAAGTGCAAAAAATGGGGAGGGAGAGGTGTATTTAAAGAAATCCATTGTAATTGTTCTTGTAATGCTGGTTTCCTTGCTGTAATCAGCTATAACCAAAGTTCAAATCCAGTTTTGGACACACAGGATTTTTTTCTAAGTCTATATGAGGTTGGGTAAGTTACTTCACAGATATTTTTTGAAACTCGAAGGTATTTAACATTTAAAAATACCCAAAAAAAACCACTGAGTTTATCTTATGTTTGACCTTGAAATCGTGTCCTCTGCATAAAATTTAAAAAAAAATTAATTAGCAGACAAATAAACCGTCCACAAAAAACGAGATAGGTACCAGAAAACGAAAGCGCAATTCCATCTAGTTAGGCGTACCTTTCATCTACTAGGGGATCACAAGTCGGATGGCTGTTAAGTGCTGAGTGACTCAACGCTATAAGCTCCACTTTAATCAGTTTTTCCATAGGGTGCTAATGATTTAATTTCGAGTGAAATAATTCAAAATTTGTAGCTAATTCACAAAATAAAAAAGTCAGCGTCAAAATAACTCGGTTTGGAGTTATACCACAGATGCCAACGTTTAACACGAAAATCTTTTTGATTGTCTTTTGACTAAAACCTCTTATATTATAGGCATGTCAGTTCTATTTGCATCCAAGGGTTATGAGTTTATCACCTAGGTATTTCAAGTTGTACGTGAGACGAAACTAGATTCGTTATTTTCCTGTTGAAAATCACCAGATATAAAAAAATCAACATTTTTGGTTTACTTGGTTTGGGTAGCAATTTTGTACCAAATACCCTGCACAAAGTGATTCTTTTTGCACACCGAATTCATACACACTGTGTATGGTTCGTCTATACAAGCCGATTAGAGGTCATTTATGGAAGATCAGGGTATCTGCTCAATAGATATTTCTAAATGTGGATGACATTATAATTTGAGTTACACCTACAGCAACTCGCATGGTATAAGGAGTAGACGCGTATATTTTTGTTAGTGCTTCAGCCATGTGACCTTAGCGCACTCAAAAAAATCATCAAAAATCACCACAACCAATAAGCTCCCTAATACACTTTCTTTCTTCTGTGCTTAAAGAGCAGCTATCTAGGTACTCTACTTTTAAACTAGACCAGGCACATGCAAACAATATAGAACTATTTACCTTCACTAGGTGATGTATACAATTTCTTACATATTTCTTGTACTCCTCCTAATTCATTTATTCTATTTACACCTTCGCGACCTCGATGTTCCATAAGGTCACGTAACTGTTTTAAGGTAATTCCATATTGCGCGGGCCGGCCGTCTATCGTAGCCATCTCTCGTAGCTAGATCTGGAAAAAAATAGAGTCATGAGCATTTATTGTCAACTTCGTACAATATAAAACATATGTCAATCGGCATCGTATAAGACACTATTTCCAAACATGCATTAGGATAAAACGTAAGTGTGCCACACGATACCATAAAAGTTCTCTACTATTCTTCAACTTAATTGAGATAAATTGCGCTGACTTGATTCTAATATATTTTTATACAATCAAAGTTGTAAAATATTTGCTATATTTCCTTCGTTTTTTATCAATTGTCATTCTCATACGTTTCACATCATTGTGTAGTTAGTTTCATTCCACCTTGTTGTTAGTTAATTGAAATTTAGGAAGAATGTACCATGTACCCCATCTGAATGTGTCCCTTTGAATGTAACAACATTATTTTTTTCTCTATTTTTTTTTTGTATACAGGGTGTAGCACCTAAGTTTCCTCGGATCATAATTCGTTTAACATAAAAGATACCGAAAAAAGTCTTACAGCAAAATTGTACACAATTACCGTTGCTATATTTCTAAAATATTTTTGATCACCAGGGGCGTGCTGTATTCCAGTGGCGTATCAAACTTTTTTTTAATGGAATGCCGGTAACAGTCTCTAAGAATAAATACTATATTAACCGAGATATTAACCTTTTCTGCTTGAGTTGGAGACATTTTTGCAACGTTGATTAAAAACAATCATACACTGCCGACTGTTAATTATGAGAATTGAACCTCTTTTGTTTCATCATGGCACATTTAGATTTGGAAAATAAGGTTTTTTTTACAAATTGGCGACTGGTTTTTCTCTGAAATTTTCTTATGGAATGTGTGGTTTTCTTTGCATCAGTAGAAAATTTGTAGTTTTGGCTACCCAGAGGTATAATTTGTTTAGGGGGGTGCCATTTGAAATTTTTGAAAAATATGACTTTTGGCGAAGGTGAATCAAAAATTAAATTTTTCTTGTAAAGTACCTAAAAAAATTATGTGACTATGAAAGAGGTCTTGCCTGTGCCTCAATTCAAAAATTAGCCGCCTGCGCGATTTAGTTTCTCTAAACAAAATTCGAAGAACTGTCAAATTTTGACGAGAAAAAGTTATAACAGCGAAATCGTTAAAGCTAGGGGTATAAGTATATAAAAAAAATAAGTATTTTTCAAGTACATTCCAAATCAGTAATGAAATATGGAGCGTTCCATTAAAAAAAATGCAAGTTTGATACGCCACTGGAATACAGCAAGCCCCTGGCGATCAAAATTATTTTAGAAATATGGCGACGGTAATTGTGTACAAAATAAAGGAGTTATGCTCCGAGGGATCTTAGGTGCTACACCCTGTATATTTTATGCAATAAAAGACAATTTATTATTTTTTTTAATTAAGTAATGCGTGCCAACTGCTTAGGTCATTAGCGCGTTTATTTCTATATTTCGGAAGATAGGTAACCTTCCTAAGTACAATTTATGACGTTTTTAGCATTCTTCTTGTCTGATAATGCCTCGGATAATGCACTGATGTATGTTATGCCATCTTTTTCTCAATTTTCACTATAATGTCATAAGCTTCGTCGACCAAGATTTGTCGCAAGTGCGATTGATTCGTTAGCCATTTAGTTTTCCACTCTTCCTTGATTTGCGTTAATACATCTTGTAATGTCATACCCTCGATTTCCTCAGATGTTTCTGATAGTGCAGCTTTCTTCATTGCAGAGTTGGACTGGGTTACTGGGTCAACTGGGTCACTAAATTAAACTGGGTCACTGGGTCACGTCATACTCTTTTCAGTTAGACCCAGTGACCCAGTTTGACCCAGTGACCCAACTTGACCCAGCGACCCAATTTCACCCGGGGAGCCAATTCGACCCAGTCACCTAGTTTGATCGAATAACGCAGTTAAGTCAGTGCCCTCGGTTCAAGTGTACAGATTATGAAATAAATGAAGTGCTGGTTTGTTGAAAATAATACTCGATTGCTTGACAACTGTCATTTCTGTGATGTTTGCTTTAATACTGCCGTAAAAAACTTTCCATGTCCCGAATTGTATTAGAATAATGTTATTTCTTTGCTTCAGGGCTTACCAGTTTGCTTACAGGTGTTCATTCACATTTAATTTTTTTCTACTAGTTAGCTTAATCCAAATAAATCTTTTCTCTAAATACTTTCATTGACTACAAACTATAAACAAATGCATTTGATTTTTGTAGGTATTAGTTCTCTTGAATGAAATTGGGCTAAGTGCTTGTTGCCGAATATTATTGAGAAAGTTTTTTTTAAAATTAAAAGTTACTTGAAATTGTTTTGGATGATACCTAACAATAATTTAATTACTGAGCCACCGGGTCAAGACGGGTCACTGAGTAAAGCTGGGTCAAGATGGGTCACTGGGTCAAGCTGGGTCACCGGGTCAAGCTGGGTCACTGGGTCAAACTGGATCACTGGGTCAAGCTGGGTCACCGGGTCAAGCTGGGTCACCGGGTCAACTGGGTCACCGGGTCAGTAAACGAACTGGGTCACCGGGTCACTCTATGCTTGACCCAGTCCAACTCTGCTTCATTGCTTTTTTAGCGTTTCCCAGGTTCTGTACACACACTTCTTTCGCAATGACAATAATTTTTATTTGTGGACCTGCTCTTTGGACTGTGCAATTTTTTGCACAGGATTTGTTGACTTCCTATAAAGGCATTTACTACTTTTGTCCATGTGTCCTTATGGGCTCCACATGTATACCCGCACAGTATTTTAACACGGGTTCAACTACATTTAGTGACTACGTTTTGTATGTTTTAGCCAAGTGAGTTTCCAGTCTAGCCAAGATTTTGAATTCTGAGACATATGGTATAGTTTCGTTCTTTAGATCGAATGCCTGCATTTTGTCTTCTTGGACGAGAAGTGGAATCCGCGGCTTTGATAGCTTCTTCAGTTGGTACTTCAATATCTTTTTGAATGCTTTGTGATACCTGTTTTACGATTCTACCAACAGGAATAATGCATCTACGTACAACAATGGTTTGGCAAGGATCGAAGGATCCCATCCGTTATGTTATTTATTGCTACTTATGGCAAATAAGGTGCCATTTAGTACGGATCCGTGAGAGATTCCATTCTGCTGGCGTTTTATATTTGATCTTTACTTAAATGTCTCGATTACGCAGGAAGTTTTTAATAAATGTGGGGAGATTACCTTTGAAATGATGATGATACTTCCATACAGTACAGCATGTAGAGTATTTGAATGCCTCTTTAATTAGTTGGTCGATGCTTAGGATCTCTTGTGCTGTAACCTTTTCTAAATCCTGCTTGATATATAGTGAGTTTCGCCCTTTGTTCCAGTATGGTAATGAGTCAAAAGTTCTCCTTCGCTTATTGGTATTGCTACGATAGTTGCCAGTCTCCATGCTGTTGAGTATTGCTGTGAGTTCCAGGGTGCTTCGACTTCCACAAATTTGACTCTTTGTGTTCAGCCAAACTTCAGCTGTGCTGAGATCTCCAATCCTTAACACCAACTTCGATTTTGATTAAAGATCATGACGAAGGTAAACCACTAACTGAAATATTGTGTACCACCCGCTCTCCCTTGTCTTCTACTTCCTTGGTAGTCCCTCAATCGTCCTCGCTTATTTCAACTTCATATACATCCGCTTTAATATATAAAAAAGGAACCACAATTGTTTATTGTCCTTTATTATATATTAAAGCAAATCTCAACGAACCCCAAAAATAATGGAGAATTACATTACAAATTCATATACATCCATATATTTCTTCCATTTCCTTGTAATAACAATTAATGTCTATTTTCCAGCGTTTCCTTAATAGTTACATCTTTAGATAGACTTTTACTCCTCGGTGAAAGTATTTCAAGTAACAAATCATTCTAATGGCACAAATGAATAAGTGACTCAAATGTATACTGTCCAAGTTTATATAAACATTTTTCAAAGTGTCGTGTGTGCCATCGCTAAACTTAAAACGCATTTTTGATGTAGCAGATGTGTTTTCGAACTAAGGAATGCATGATTTGCTCTAAATACAGGTACACGTAAGTTGAGACAATACGTTTGTCCGTTTTGGCAACGAAATTGATGCATAATGATGTCACCTTTTGGACTAAGCGATGCAGGAATAACTCAATAATAGAATTTAATGACGGCAGTAGACGGTTCTACGATATTCCGATGCTGATATCTCTGGCGATTTATTAAGGCACCCTTCAGTTAGTGCTAACAAAAACTTTGTGAAAACTTTTGACATCATATGCAGCCGGTAGCGTTTTGTTACGCTAGAAGTGCGTTTTATTAAATAAAATTCTGAAATTTCCTGAACTTATTACCTAATAAACTACTTTAGGAACAAAAATAAGAAAACAACTCAAAACTCTCTGTCTAGTTTCCGTATTTACTTCATCTTATAAAAGGTATCAGGTTACGTTTATACTCTCGAATGACAAAAATAAATATTTCCCTCAGATTTCCACCAGAATGCTTCCAAGTAAGAGCTCTAATTACCAGCAAAGTATAAAACAATTTTACTACTACACGCGTTGTACGCTGTCGTAGTTTTAGATTACCCAAGCCTTTAATTACCGTTAACGACATACAAACAAAAACAAACGCCCCTCTCTTTCTTCCCACAAACAACACTACAAATCTTTTCAGTGTGGCTAAACTTAATTAAATTCTCCTTCATTACAAACTCTGTATAAAAAATTATTGATTGATGATACCCAATAGCAAAACTACAATAAGAAATGTTTATAAATGAAAAATGCTCTCACTAGATAATAAAAGACATTTCATGGGTGGTCGCTACATGAAATGATAAAGGCGTCGCACTCAAGCGATTGGCTAAAGCGCCTAACGTTCAACACGGATAAATTTAAATTCGAAACCTGCGCATGTGCAAAATGCGATAACAACTCAAATGGACGAACGGAAACAAGCAGTCATTGCATTTTCAACATTATTTTGCAGCTTTATTTAGCGCATAATGCAATTCTATTATACTCGATAAGTATCCTAACCGTGACTCATCCTGTACATGTAGGTATAGTGATTTATGTATTTGACACTCACTCGCATGCTAATAGGCGAGCTAATAGGTAAATTAGAAAGTGTTTACCAATTTGATATTTGTACTAATAAAGCGATATCATCATTTAAACCACAGATTCCCAGTTCATTTATTGCAATTTGAACTTTGACATTACTCACATTTTAACTAATAATTGCCAAAGTTTATTGATACATAATTAGATTATTTTTTTGCGTTCGTTAAGCCCGGCGTTACCATGTTTATTTACTCAATTATGTTAGAGGTTTGCAAAAAAGAACATTTTCAAATTAACAATCTTTTTATTATGATTAAAACATCCGCAATAATAAAAAGGCAGGTTCGTCTCCCTTTAATAAGATTAAACAATTTAATCGCTGGATTAAAAATATTCTTTTTAACACGTACGCCTTTTACTTTTCGAATGAAAATTTCGATTTTAATTTGATAATACGACTAGAATTCGAAATGTTTATGACGAGTATATGCAATTCTTGCTGATTACTTACGCACAATAAACTTTATTATTACTAACTATTATAAGCTCTACCATGTCCCCCACCCACTTTCAGTATGTAACATATCACATTGTTTTTAGGGTGTCAATTTTGAATGGGACGTCTTTTTCCCCTGTAGACCTAACTAACCTTCAGAACATCAATAGATCCACTTTCTTCTAACTTGGACGTTTTTATGAAATACTAGTAAACCCCGCGGATTTCCTATCGCCCTTGGGATATCGTTTTCTTGGACGAGACATACGCTGGCTTCCGACGGCTGCGCCGCCTTACCTCGCACACCCGGCAAACTACATTATTACCTAGCCGTATGAAATATACTCTACGATCTATAAGCTTATACCTTGTCTTATACCTCGTCTTATACCTACCAAATATACAAAAAAATTTCATAAAAATCGATTTTATTGTCTCGCATAGTCAACATCGACACGGCCATGGAATTATTGCCATAAGAAATACATTGTAAACTTCGAGGCAAAAATGCAAGGTTGATTCCTAAATGAAATACTAAGTCTTTAGTATCAGTGGTTTTGTAATTTTTTTGTCTATCGAGAAACGTAAAAATCCAATATGGCATCCATTCAAAATAAGGAAGTATCGAGAACCGCAGTTTAAAAAAAAATGTCTACGTCCATTGAATTTATCTCATCTAATCTAGCAACTTTTATTTGAAACTTTTTTCGATAGCTCTCTTGGTTATTAAAATATTTGCACTTTTTAAAAATGTCGATTTTCACTTTTTTCCAATTATCTACGAAACGAGTAATTCTTTAAATATCGCATCGGAATATCCATCAGCATCAGGAACTACACAACTTTGTTAATTTAACCGAATCTCTAAGTATAATAATAACAAAGATAGCCATGTTATCCTACTCAATTTGGGACACCCTGTGTAATATAAGTGTCAAGGTCAATTTACACACGTTAGTTATAAGTGTTTTAATTAACAAGGAATTGGCGGGCGACCAAGGGACTTTCGGTATAAAAAGTTACCCCTCCATCAAGTGCCAACCCCAATGAGCGGATGGTGGGTAGGGCACTCTATCTTGGGGTTAGAAAAAAAAACCTAAAGTCGATCGAGTCCTCAGAGACCATCGGCATAGGACGTGGAAAGCAACGGGAAGTATCGGAATATAGATCCTGGGATTTTCCAAGAATAAACAGTTTTTCAAAATGTCTATTACGAGGTCTATTATGAAGCGCGATTTTGTACAATGCCCCCCAAAATCGAATATCCAGGGGAGATTGCGATAATGAGGTTATTCGTGATGTTAAGAGAGAAGACAATTTCATTATGTATAATGGGAGATTGGAATGCGGTAGTGGGAGAAGGGAACCATGAGTAGTGGGAGAAGGGAACCATGACATTGTAGTGGGACCTTTTGGGCTTGGCAAAAGGAATGAAGGAGGCTCGGAAGAAGGAAATTTTGTACGCAGCACCAATTAGTGGTAGGTATGCAACACATGGTTTAATCATCAGCAACGGAGGCGGTACACCTAGAAAGCTCAAAGTCATAGCCAAATGTACCAGATCGATTATATTCTAGTCAAGCGAAGATTTCCTTTCCCCTCAGCACTCCTTATTTTTGAACTGATGAAATAATTTTATTTATAATGAACGCACCTCTTTCTCCCTAATATGGCTGGGCACGTGGTAGGTTGCGCCTCGAGTTACGCACGAAAAACTCAAAACTGAACCCAAAATTTATGCAAACTTCATTCATTTATTTTATAGTAGCAATTAAGTATATTTCGCTTGCTTAAAACGATAAAAAATAATCTGGATGGATGACAGATTTGTAGGGGGGGGGAGCAAGTAACCCTCGAATTAACCTATAATTCGACGTGAGGTCGATCAACAATTACTCTACAATCGCAGGAACAATTGCTGCAATCGCTTGGAAATTTAAAAAATGACAATTGCTAAAATCGCTTAAAAATCTCCACAATTGCTGGACAATCGCTGCACCTGCTGAGCAATCACTACAATTGCTGGAGAATTACAAAAATCGCCACAATTGCTCGCACTTGTAAACTAAAATCGCTGAGTGGTTTAGCACTCGAGAATTTCCACCGCGTAGATCTTAAAAACCTTAACTTTAGTTTTAAAACGGGGAGGGACTATACTTTAATGTGCACTGAAAAGGGGGCTTGTTGATCCAGCACACAAAATGAAACAATAAAATAAAAATGTTTAAGTACCAAAAAAATAATGGCAATAATCGAAATGTTACAAAAAAGGATTTTTGAAAATATGAAATACTTAGCTATAGGTACCTACTTTATGTGCATTTAGAGGGTGGCGGCTTGTAGACCGTGTAAACAAAATCAAACAAGGAAACAAACATTTTTGAAGTACCACAAATCGTAAAATAAAAAAGCGAGTTTTTATTTTAAAAAACTTGTAATTTTTAAAACATGAGGGCAGGTTATCCTTTTATGTGCACTGAGAGGGTGGTTTGTGGATCCTGGAAACAAAATCAAACAAGGAAACAAAAATGTTAAAAGTACCAAACCAATTACAATGAAACTATTAACTATTATTACATTTAAGAGGTGGCTTAAGGACCCTGTAAACAAAATCAAACAAAGAAACAAAAAATCTCGCAAAAAATTTTAGATGTACCACCACAAAAATTACAATTACATAGTCAGTTTTCTAAAAAAAAATGTATTTTTTTAAAAAAAAGAGCTATACTTTCATGTGCATTCAAAGAGTGGCTTGTTGAGCTTAGAAACAAGAAATCAAGTACCACACAAATTACAGCCCTCACAATATACCAATCGTCAGATAAGTACAAAACATGTAATTTTGAAAACGGGAGAGGGGGGGGGGTCCTTTTATGTGCATTGGAAGAATGGCTTGTGGATCCTGTAAACAAAATCAAACAAGGCCTGGACCTAACGGCTTATTAATTAATGCATTATTTTTCAGCAAATAAGTCTTTTCATGTCAAGTAGGCAGTGAAGTCAAAAATAAACTGTGCTTCCGACTGGTGTAAAATTCGCCTCCCCCTTGCCAAATTTACACGAAATTCCGTAAAACACGTGCATCGTCTGTGAAAAGGCGTCCAAAATTGGCGTCCCAACCGGTTCGTCGAATATGTGACCTATGACGTCAGACATATCAGTCAAGTTGACATAATCGCTGATTACCGGCACAATTCCAAAGCCAAAATGTGTTATGACGTGATAAACTTTATCGGGATCACATTGCTCATTAAGTCTATTAGTCACCCACCGGCCTTGTATTTGCGAAAGTAAGACTGAAGTGAACCGGCGCGTCTGTGGCGGCCTTTAGTCATCCCTATCATCATTACATAAATAAATAAAGATTAGTTTAGTTACACAATTGGACATTTAAATAAAGTTATCAATTCTTTCCCATTTTTTGTAATAACAAAAGGTCATCCTATCACCACCAGATTGTTTAGCATGGGTGTAATTAAGAATCAATTAACTTTAATTGTTGTTGGTACAAATTTTAGTGGGATACTGCACCAGTGGCTGACTAATTTTAGTACAAATTTCTTTGGATAACGATTTTCGTTTCCTGGTGCTCGCTACTCGCTAGACACTGTTATTTTTACATGCCATTCCAAGGGAATCTTCACACGCACCAAATTAATTTTTTATAATTGAGTAAAATTAAACGTTGCAAAAACGGCAGCGATTGGAGAAAGAAAATCAAGAAAAGAGGGAGGGAAAATGTAATTTTTAGACCGGCTAACGGGAGCTTTTTGCGTCAACTAAAATTAGACAAAAACCGAAACTTCCTTTTTGATATACAAACTACGTAAACTAAACCGGTTAATTGTTAAGCCGGCGTATTTAATTTTAGAAAGCGGGATGTATTTTTATTTGTTCATACCTGACCAATCGAATAACTTTGCACTGTGGAAAATTGATTGCATTAAACAGTTTCTTGAAACACGTTGCTTATTTTACAAGAACCATGTGGAAGTGAAACTTCACACAGCACTAGCGGGCACAATTAGCACACATGCATAGCGAACCGCGCGCGTAACTTTAGCCGAGACAATTTACTTGACGAAAATCAAACTGAATCATTGCAGAGAAACTTATTACCTCATTCATACGCAAGCGACATATTAACTGGGAAAAAGAGGGGATCTTCTCTATGGCTCAGCTCAGGAAATTACCAAATATCATTTCGTAGACATCCTCGTGTTGCCACGCCTTTAGTCGAGAGGTTTCGTCGCGTCCTGGTGACGCGCGGAATCTTTAAAATGTTGACAACGTTATTAATTAAAAATTCCAGACACAAAAACCTGCCGTTCAAATTGACCTACTTTGTATTTACGTATGCATACAAAAAGAATTCGCGCATCCCCATATTCTTTTGCGAGCGTACTTCCTTCTGGAGTTGATTATTCCCGCCCGGCCTACACAATACATATATCTATCCCTCGGAATTCCTATATGCACCCACATTTCACGTTTAGTTATCCCAAATAGAAGAAGCGTGTTTTTTGCGCCAAGTCTCACGATATATTAACGGAAATATGAACTTTTTAATCTGGAGTTGCAATTTGATGCCTATTTACCAATAGATCCAGGCCGAAGGATGCGTGGTAATCCCATGAACTTGATTGGAGAGCCAACGTTACTGGAACTCCTTCCCAACCTTCGAATGCGGGACTATGCGGAAGTGAACTTTTAATTCATCGCCTGCTCATGGCCCAGGGACTAATATGGATCAGAGGATCAGACAGTACAAACACTAAGGGGGCTCGGTCGAAAGCGAAACCTGTACAAGCACCGGGACCGACAAAACCACAAAACAACGGCCCCCTAGTCCTACCCCTACGCCAAGGGGCGCCTAAGCCTAAAATAATGTACTAACTAATTACCCTCGAAAAACATTAATGCCACAGACAAAATTATGGGAATGCTTACCCCTTAATAAGGCTAGGCAACACACGATGCACCATTTATGGAGCTTTACCCTGAGCTTTGAAAAGTGGACCGATTAAGTACACCTCCCGCTATAAGCACAGATTTAAACATCTGTGCTATAAGGTGTTCGAGAAAATCGTGAAGGCGCAATTCACCGACTACATGAATGTGAATCAGATTATCCACACCAATCAATCCGGTTATCGTACTGGGCACAGTACAGACACTAGATGCCATACTGCAATGCAAAACGTTGACGATCGATTTGTCTAAGGCTTTCGATAGTATTCACCATGAGCTCCTATTGGCTAAGTTGTTCTACTACGGGTTGAATAAAGTAGCAGTAAACTTTTTTCACGAACATTTGATTTATCGAAAGCAACTGGTAACCGTTCAAGATCATTTCTCTGATTCCTTGGTTTTAGAACGGGGGGTTCCGCGGGGTTCCATTTTGGGGCCAATACTCTACCTAATTTATGCCGCAGATTTAAAAAATGTCTAACCACTGGCCTCATTTGTATGTTGATGACATACAACTCTTGTATAGATTTCGGAAGCAGAAAGAAAAATAAATTCTGAACTTTGACGAAACTCATAAACAGTGCTTAAATATCAACCATAATCAGTCCGAAGCAATAGTGTTTGTGGTGATTTTAAAAGAACTTTCGTGAAAAGTATTATGTCCGTTAAAATGAATATTGATGCGCTGAGATCTAGTTATGAAGTAAAGAGACGAAAAACTCCGATTTAAAAATAATGTCAATTCAAAAAGGATTCATGGCATTAAAGCTGTTGTACTCTAATCTAATCGTAGTATAACCAAAGAGTCACTGTATTGATCTCACTGACAGTAAGAGGATACAACGTATACAAAATGCCTGTGTAAGATTTATCTTCGGTATCAGCAAAAGGGAACACATCTCTTGTAAAATTCAAGAGCTGGGGTGTCGCAATATGCATAACAGAAGGAAATTACACTATGCTTCTTTTGTCCACAAAATTATTACTTCCTGCAGTCCAAATTACGAATATCGATGGGATGCATCTCGCAATGGTGGTGGAATGGTGAAAACAACCCCTATACTACTTATAAAATGAAAAATAACGAAATTTACCCGTTTCCTAAACCCACCTTCCATTATCCATTCTATTTACTACGATTATATTTTTTTTTTGAAATTATCTACTGGGGGATGATTCCATAACACAACCCGCAGTACCCAATAACATTCATAATTTTTTCTTTTCAGATTCAGTCTGTAGATAATGAAAACCTTTCAGAAACTATGTTTTGAACAAACCTATGTGTCATGAAATCATCATCCCCCCCGATCAAGGCACGATTTCATATACACAGTATTCAACATTTTCCTTTCAGTTAGGATATTGTTTAAGAATGGAGGCTATCAAAAAATCGTGTGTTAAAAAACTTAAAGTGGTGATAAGGGTTGCTTGTGTACTTTAAAGACTAGGATTGGTTAAAATACCAGCACAAAAAACGATACCCTAGCTGAAATTTTGGTGAAAATCAAAGTACGGAATCCACAACAAGAGCCAGATGTCCTGATCTTACTCTAACAGCAGATCAGTTCACATCGAATGGAATAAAAGATTTGGAGTTAAAAATGGCACCTTTTAAGTGTTACAAAAGAACGTATGGAAAAAGTTCACCTGTTGGAAGCTACGACAAATTTTCATTAAACGAATTTAACTACCTCTGATATTGCTAAAAAACCAAAGTACTCTTGCTATATTTTGTGATCTCAGCAGAGCTTTCGATACCGTAGATCACTCATTATTGCACAAATTAATAGCCATACCCAGGAGCTCGTTTGCTATATATGATGACACATTTTATTATTATACCTATCGTCATATATACAGGGTGACAATTTGAAAACTTACCACCCCCCATATCTTAGTAAATAAACGAGATATTCAAAAAAATCAAAATCCGTTTCGGTAATTCGGAGGGGGAATCACAATGACATAGTTGGTGACGCACCCCCTCACACCCCCTGCGCCCTAGCCACCCCAACTTTTAAATCTTAAATAGTGACTCCCCATGTGTGATACGTCATTGGAAAGCTCTGCAAAAATGCTTTCCAACCATACCAAATAGCATTACATTTAGGTTAGTAATTATCGTGCAAATCAAAAAATAAACATGGAAAATCGTATTTAACTTGAATTTCCAAAGCCGACTTGACAGCAACTCATTTTTGATCGCCAGTTATAATCTATTCTCAAACTCTTGTCGAACCTTTTCAAATGTTGGTTTTGCAATATTTCGACATTCTTGAATTATTCTCTGTCTTAGTTCGTCTATGTTCGCCGGTTGCGTTGTAAAAATGACAGATTTCAAATGTATCATATTAGTTTATTTTTTGATTTGCACGATAATTACTAACCTAAATGTAATGCTATTGGTATGGTTGGAAAGCATTTTTTCAGAGCTTTCCAACGACGTATCACACATGGGGGGTCACTATTTAAGATTTAAAAATTGGGGTGGCTGGGGCGCAGGGGGTGTGAGGGGGTGCGTCGCCAACTATGTCATTGTGATTCCCCCTCCGAATTACCAAAACGGATTTTGATTTTTTTAAATATCTCGTTTATTTACTAAGATATGGGGGGTGGTAAGTTTTCAAATTGTCACCCTGTATAATAATACTGGAGGATCTCGAAAATAACTGGATCAAGTTTTATAGCTAATCTGCACAATATCTACCTAAATCTAACGGAATACGTAGACGTTGAAACCACCCAAGTTAGGCCTTTCACAGATTTAAAGTTGTTTTTACAGGAAGACATTCCCGATATTTTCTCTGTATCTAAAAGAAACAAGTTAAAAAGTAATCGTAAACGATTTACATAAAGCGCATTTCCACTTGCATTCATTTCCCATTTGTAAGATGCAACTTCTGTTAAAATCGTAGAAATCTGGCCACAAATATGAAAGATAGCATTGCACATGGGCAATCCATTGTTGACGTGCTACTTCAATTTCAGTTTATGAGAAGAATTTCATTTCAATGCTTTTCTAAATAAGAAAGTTGGAACTGCGCATGCGCAAACCTCAATTTTAAAACTAATGTTAGATTTTCCTTTGTTCCAAGCGCCTATGTATCAAATTTCGTTTAAATTCTTCCATAAATAAAAAAGTTGGCACTGCGCATGCGCAAAACCAAATTTTGAAATTGGCGTTTGATTTTCCTTTATTCAAAGTGCCTATGTATCAAATTTCATTCAAATACTTTTATAAGTAAAAAAGTTTGCAATTCGGTTTATAAATGGTCGAGATGCGAAAAGGGCGCTGTGAATTTTGAATCGATTCGATTCAACTTTTGGCATTGCGTATTATATGGTTAAAGCTATGCCCATATTGAATTTCATGCAATTCAGTTCATAACTAACTCGCGATCGAACATTTCTAAACAAAGTTATCGTTCACACGGACAGATAGATGGACAGACAGACAAAGGAACAGACGGACAGACCAACCGGCAGGCGACAGATAGCAATGCAAAATTATAAACAATCTCTAGGATCGTTAATAAACGGTAAAAGTGTAAAATTATGGAACATGTAAAAAACGGTTTTTTGTTTTTTTTACAATAACTTTTTTTGTAAGCGGTACAGAAAAAATTCCTTCGTTGGTACAAGACTCGACACCATAACGAACCAAATAGCGAAAAAAGTAGAACAATAGCTCTTAAGATAAAAAACTAGTAGCGTCGCAAAGTTAGCGGACGGACGGACAAAGTGGCCACAATAGCACATTTTTTTTTTATTTTTGTGGAAATGCGCTAAAAACCAATCTGAAACAGTTTCACTCAAGCGTATGGTAGGTGTAGAAGACACTGAAAATCAAGTGACTAATTTAGATATAACACTGAAGGCACCCCTCCTTTTGAAGAAAGCGTGTTTGAGTTCACCAAAATGGACTTTTCGGGGTTCTCTTGATGATACTGGTTTCAACCTTCCTCAAGAATCTCTGCTGTTTTTGAAAAGGGCTTTGTGGCAGAGGTGAAGTTTCTTATGTTGTTGATAGCCAATCAGAAATAGATAACCGTGCTTCCAAGCTTTCACACATTTTAATGTTTGAATGTCTTACCAAAAAACAATCAAAATTCATATCAGCTATTCAAGTACAAAGAACCCGCGAGTTGCTCTTACAAACGAGTTTAGGACTCGTTA